ATACAGGATTGTCTCATTGAGCCACCAGGACTCATTTACAAGAGAGACTTGTACCAGAAACTTGTACCAGACAAATAAGTACAGACAACAACAACAGTAAACAATGACAACAATAAACTACAGTAAAAATGCAGTTCAAATAAGAGTAGTGTACAAAACAATAAATCAGGGTGTGGTCAAACAAGGTAAAATACTAAAAACAAGAACATATTTGCTTTGATTTTTCTATTGACATCAAATATTTGAAACCCCTTGAAATTAATAAACTAATAAAATATTATTGTTCATAAATTTGTAAATAAAATAAAAAAAAACATTCTAAACATTTAAAGGTAGTGGTACTTATCTTGGGGGGAGGGTGTTAAGGTTATTGATAACCCGCAATAAAAAGGACTGAATTAATATTAACATTTTAAATACGTAACATTTTTGACATCTAAGACACCTTTGTTTTACAAACGCTCGCCCCACCACCTTGTCAACAATGGTAACACTTAACATTGTTGGATTATTTTTTGACCTGGTTTATAATAATAATAATAATAATAATGTCATCACAATGTCAGCACTGTATGTTTCCATACAATAGCGAAATTAGTCTCTGCATTTAACCCATCCACCACCAGGTGGTGCAGTGGGCAGCTATTGAAAGCGCCCGGGGGACATTTTGGGGATGAGGCGTACTGCCCATCCCCAAAATGTCCCCTTGAGCATGAACCTTGATACTATTTTGCTAGTCTTAGCTTTTAGCTGCTGTGTTGCAAATTTTAGCTTTAAGTTTGTACTTATTTAAGCTACTTTAAGTTTAGCTATTGCTTTGCTAATTGTACCTTTTGTGTACCGTTCTGCTTGCTTTAATCTTTATTTTGCTGGATTTAACTTTTTACTGCGCTGCTTGAGTTAGATTTTATAGCTGCTGTTTTCTTTCTTTTCTACTGCTAATTTTAACTTTTTTTTTTTTTTTTGGTGCTAATTATAGCCTTTGGTAATTTTAAACTTTGTTGAGTGTATTTTAGTTTTTGTGCTTATTGTTTTAATTTTAACCACACAGTTTCAGCTTATTTAACAAGTTCACCTCTTTTGTTTTTAGCTTTTATTGCATTATTTTCTATGCAGACAGGCAACATGTTCTTAACTGTTTTCTTGTTTAGTTAGTTTAGTTATTTAATACAGTGGATTTGACATTTTGCGTTTTTTTCAGTGCATGCGCGCCACCGTGTCCGCGCTCCCGCGAGGGAAACCCCACGTGACCCTCTCAGACCAATCGCTGTCCCCAATCGCCTATTTGTAACCGCGGTCCCGGCGCGCGCGCTTGTCTGCAGCAGAGAAGGCGGCAGGAAGACGCTTAAAGCCCCAAAACAAAGTGCTGTGAAACCCACGACCCCAGACCGAGATGTCGGAGGAAAAGCCGAAGGTGAGACGCAGAGGCTCTCAGAGCGGACCTTCAGCGAGCATGGCTGAGTCCAGATCCTTTGCTTCCGTTTCTTACATGTGCAATGTGAACGGGCCTGGTGTGCACGTTTCTGTAAAGCGGCGCAGTGTTTGTTTCGCAAATGAATGAGTGTCCGCGCACACGCTCAGGCTGCGCTGTTGCAAAACAACAAAACCACCCTGCAGCTTCTTTGTATTGGTCATGTTTTAATGGAAATGTATTTTACGCGCTTATGATTGTGAACTGTGCTACATTGTTGGCGCTTCGTGGAAACTGCCGTCGTGCTAGTTTGTCCGCAACGCCGCTAATGCCGCAGCTGCAGTAGCGGCAAAAGAGCGCAAATGGGAATGACGCACCATTTAAACAAAAAAGAACAAAAGCGGCGTTGATATTTTTTGCGTGTTTACTTGAATCCAGTGCTCGTTTGAACTCCGTGGAACAAAAACAAAGCTGCTAGCCAAGTTAGCCGTCAGCTAACTCTTAATTGATCCTGAAGGAGAGTAGCTCCGAGCCTGGAGCTAACGATGCTAACGCTAGCCTCTGCACAACATCCATCACGAAAATGACAAGTTTTAGCAAATGTTTCTATTCTAATTCATGCGTGTTGGCTGTAATTGGCTTGCATGCCTGTAAATATAGCGTTCACACCTGTCACACATTGTAAAACAGTGTTTTGTGGCGGAAGTCTGTCAGAAATGTATAACAGTTATGACATATTAGCCAGGTTAGTCTTTGTGTTGTAGCTATTTTCTGTGGCAGCTGTTTGGTTTTCATCAAACATGTGACTCTGAGTGCACAAATAAACATCTGGAAAATGTGGCATGACTGCTTTACTACAAGTCGCAACAATCACAGCTCAAGTGATATTGTTTTAAAATACATCTTGTCCAGTTTTTACCTTTTTTAAATGCAAGCTTTAAACTACAAGGTACAATATTATTGTTGATAATCCTGAAACATGATGGATAAACTTGTTTGTCTCGGCAGGAGGGAGTAAAGACGGAGAACGACCACATCAACCTGAAGGTCGCGGGCCAGGACGGGTCAGTTGTCCAGTTTAAAATCAAAAGGCACACGCCGCTCAGCAAACTAATGAAGGCGTACTGTGAACGACAGGTGAGCCGAACACCTGGTTTCTGTTTAACTGTTCTAACCACTTGTCCTTTAAAGTAAACTCACCGTCTTAGCTGGGCCTTTGAAATATATGCAAGCTGTTTCTGCACGTTTATCATCCTTACCCACCTTCATCTGCAGGGACTGTCAATAAGGCAGATCAGGTTCAGGTTTGATGGACAGCCTATTAATGAGACAGATACACCTGCACAGGTTAGTCGAAACGTTTTCTTTAAATCTTGATAAATGATACCTTTGCACTTGAGGCATCAGTGCAAACTTGCAGTTTCCAGTTGCGTGCATGCATATATATATATATATATATATATATAAATGTATATATGTGTTTATTTTTGTTGAATGGGGTTTGTTTTTCTTTGCTTTTTGCAGCTGGAGATGGAAGATGAAGACACCATAGATGTTTTCCAGCAGCAGACAGGTGGATGCTGCTAAGCTCGCCCCACCTCATTGAGCCCCATCTTCAGACCATGCCCTCAACCACCTTCACTGTCTCCCTCTCAATGGATTATTTCAGCTTATTGTTATTATAATTATTATTATATTGTTGTTTTCCCACTTCAAAGATGTCCATTATTTTCTTTGACAGGCATTTGCCTGTGTGTGTGTGTGTGTGTGTGTGTGTGTGTGTGTGGGGGGGGGGGGTCATGAATGAACATTTGTGTTTATAGAGTATTTTTATGGCCAGGCAGAACAAGTTTTCCTAACGTGTCACAGGCTGTAATTGGACCAACAGTCAGTCCTGGTTCAGCTCTGCTTCTGGCGCTGTTCAGTGAACACTTACCATCCAGCAGTTTGTCCCGATCGTCTTTAATTGGGGTGTGAGTCTCTGCAGGGGTCACAATCCGTGAACTTTTAAGAATGATTTCCAAACTGAAGAGCAGTCGGGACGTTGTTTCACTTCACATAATTGTCTGAATGGAAAGACTTGCTTTTCTGTGTTTAAAAAAACATATTTTAATTGTCGTTGCATTTATTTGTGCTTCTGTTCTCTTTTTTTTTTCTGCTTCTTATTTAAAAGAAGAAAAAAAAACCATTACCGATTAAAGTTAAATAATTTTTATCTTCCTGTACAGAATTACACAAATGGACGTTGGATTACTTTAGAGAGGTTTGGAATCCAAAGACATCAGTTTCATATTTATTGTATGTATTTGCAAGGTTCACCATCACTAAAATAAGCTTTTTTTTTTCCCATAGCTTGTATGTAAAATATATTGTTTTCAGGTAACTGGTATAGATATGTATTTTTTTAATTTTCGCTCAGGCAAAATACTTGTTCAGGGGGCAATAACTGTCAGGGCTGGATGTTGGGGGTCGTAGTATCTGTACATAGTTGTTTTTTATGTGTGCAAAGAAGTGGACTGACTTCTTGTAATTCTCTTCCATGTGGCTGTGCGTGAGGCAGTGGGCAGTTCCTGGTGGGGTTTGCTGGGGTCAGTCATCTGTTAAGTGACCGGACGGTTAACGAAAGACGAGCAGCTTCCAGTTGAGTGAGAAAATCTGCAGATTTTTATCGCTTCACTGCTGCGTTAGCTGTTGTACGTGAAATAAACTTGCTTAGCCCCAGTGTTGGAGGAGATATCGCAAGAGTTTAGTCTGCCTTTTTTTTTTTTTTTTTTTTAAGATAAGTGCAAACGTTTGTTTTCGTTTATCAGGTCGGGAAGGTCAGCTGGTGTAATTTGGGAGATGTTCTTGCCTTGTTCTACGTGGGTCACCAACTTTAGCTTCATTTGACCCTGTTGGTTCAGAACATGAAAAAAATGTGTCTGCCTTTGAAGCAGCTTGACCTTGAGCTCAAAATCTGCAAAACTAAGACTGAACACGAGCGGTAGTGTCAGAAAGGCAGTGGTTCAGAGCTACAAGATAAAATGGGACCATTAAGAAAAACGACCATTTTCTCATGTATTCATTATATGCATACTTTCAAACTATCAAAAGTCAAAGCCAGTATTTATTTTTAATCCTATATTAAGTATGCCTGCGTTTGTAGTTCAAAATACTCTGATCCAACTCCTGAACGTTGATTCTCCTTTTAAGCGTTTGTTGAAGTGTGGCGCAGACTAGTTTTATTAAAGACATGAGCGTGATTTCAGCTTTTCATCATAAAAAATAAGCACATTTTATCAACGTCTATGAATCAGTGTTCGACGTTCTTTTGTGTTTTTTTTAACTTCACTATCGGGACAAAAGTCTTTGAGGGGTTCAGCTGATCGACCCTCGTGAAGAAGAAGGGGGTCCAGGGTTCGTCATGTTTGTTTCTCTACTGATTTGTACATTATTTGTGGTCTTTTACTACTGTATACAATAAAAATAGTTTGGTACTCAGATTTCCTGCAACTGTTCATTGTTTTTATGTTTATTAGTTTGAATCCTCTCGTTGGAAGTTGTGTGATTTGTCGTGCACAAAAGTTCCAGTTCTTGCTTTGGTCCTCTTGGTGCTCGACATGGTGGAGCAGCGTGTCAGAAATGAACCACTTGGTGATGCCAGTGAACCACACACATCAGATTTGCTGCTTTTTCAGTTTAAAACCCAAGTGGTTCAAGAAAGCATGAACAAATTAAAAATGTGTAGACATGAAAATGACTTGAATGAAAAGGTGGTTAATGTAAAGTTACGATGAAAACAGGACGTTGGAAAGGTGCAACAATGATTTAAAGTCCTGGCATTCCTTGAATGAACCACCTGCTGCCTTTCATTCCACTTTAAGATATGCTGAGAAATGACTCGTTTTGGTCAAACCTTAAAATAGCATCCTGCTAATCTCATGTGGCAAAATGCCACGCCCAATGTGGAATATGACTAAACAACTACATCAACTTTTAGCTCTATATATGTTAAATAAACTGAGTTCTAGTTCTTTTAGTGTGTTGTTTTTTACTCTGGTTGCTGTGGCAGCCAGTTGATGTACTTGATTGAAATGATTACTTTCTGCAAGCTTCATGTGGTTTAAGATATTTTACAAACATGCTGTTGCTGGCTAACCTTATTTATCCCAGACACCTGGAGGCAATAAAAACTAGGACAGATTTTTTTAAGCTCTGTTCTTTAATGTCCTTTTTCCTAAAGTAAAATTAATATCTCTGATAAACCTAATTAGTGCAAATGGAACAGTTGGTTAGTCAAGCCAGGACTGAGGGAATGCTTTTGTTCTTGGGCAGCCTTTTCTGAATAAGAGTTCAACACACTCCTGTCGTGTCTGGCAGCAGGAAAGATTTACTCGTAGGTAAAGAGAGGGTGGAGCGATGCAGTCGGTATCTTCTGATCCTAATGTGACTAAAATAAATCAATTTGCCTGGGAAATTTACCGGTTGGTGGCTGGAAGTCTTATCAGAACATGGACAAACTGTTCCTCATGAACCTTTGATCATCATAAAAGATAAAAATCCAGTGGATTTCAAGAATCACTGTGCAGGTAAAATTACCTGTTCCTCTAATAAGTGAACTTTTGGAGACAACCCGATTCAAGATGACCACCACAGCAAACCAACCGTAGCAAGCGCAAAGACTCATGCTAGATTCATTAACCCTTAACCAGGAAAATCACTGTAATGACACTTTAATTGGAGATTTGACACTTTACCTGTGCTGTTGAGTCTTACCTTAAGCTGCTGTTTTCATACCATCGGCTCACAAAGACTCATATTCACATAGTTGAACCTTTCCGCTCTTTCCTGTTAGAGAAAGTCACTAATCTGCGAGTGATAATGGACCCTTCCTTGAAACTTAACAGTCAAGTAAACATGATTGTTAAATCCTGTTTTTTTCCAGCTTAGGCAAATTTCTAAACTGAAGCCCATATTGTCCAAAAATAACCTGGAGACAGTAATACATGCACTCATTACATCCAGACTCGATTACTGCAACTCACTCCTGTTTGGTATCAGTCAGACCTCCATTGCACGACTACAACTGGTCCAGAATGCTGCAGCCCGATTTTTAACCAGTACAGGCACAAGAGAGCACATTACACCAGTTTTGGCCTCACTGCACTGGTTACCGGTTCACCTTTGAATCCAGTTTAAAATCCTTCTGTTTGTTTTTAAATCACTGAACAGTTCTGCACCCTCCTATCTCGCTGATCTGCTGCAGCCATATGTCTCACTGCGTTCTCTGAGGTCAGCAGAGCAGTTGCTTCTCACAGTTCCAGGAACCCGTCTTAAGCTCAGAGGTGACAGGGCCTTCTCTGTCGCAGGCCCTAGACTATAGAATGAGTTCCCTCTACCTGTCAGGCAGGCCCCCCTCCCTCACAGTTTTTAAATCCCGCTTAAAAACCCACTACTGTTCCCTGGCTTTCATCACCAGATGATCTGTGTTGATCCTGTATGCATCACACTGTGCTAATCATTATGTTATTATCTGCTATTATGTTGTTTTTATATTTTGATTTTACATTATGTTATGTGTTGCTGTGTGCTTTGCCTGTTTGTTTCTGTCTGTACAGCACTTTGGTTGGCATTGTTGCTGTTTAAAGTGCTTTATAAATAAAATGGTATGGCGATCTTCCCATCACAGACCCACCTCCTCTAACCTCTGCGCCACTACACCATAGTTTCCTTTATACTTTATATTTTTGCTATTTTTTGGCGTAACTGGGACCTTGAGTACACTGTTTCGTTCCACCTCATGTACCACATGTGATGCAAATGGGAAATAAAGAACCTTGAACAAAAATGGTTAATACTTAGAGTCCATGTTTTAGGTATTGAGCAGTAGCTGAGGCTGATCTCAAAGATACTCCGACCAGCAAACCAATAGCTCAAGATCTGTTTTTAGCATTTACTGAAGCCAGCTCGGTGTTAGCTAAATATTTCATTTAATTTAGATTACATTGAATGTACAACTGATTAACGTCATCCACCTCAGTCAACAGAAAAATGGCTCTAACTCAGGTAGTTCTACAGATTAGTCGGAGCTGAGAGTCATCCTTAAGACATAACTCCAGCACTAACTCATCTCACTAGATCTTGTAATATCACATGGAATTAAACAAAATGGAGTTTTTAAGGTTTGACCTGAATGGCTACAACTTTTTCACTTTTCAACCCAAGGTGAACTTAGTTTTAAACCTGGCATGAAATGCAGCCAGCGGTATGCATTCCTTTAAGAAACAATAAGGATTTGTTTAAAATGAATACTTCTGAAGCAGATTATAAAATATGTTTTGTAATATCTGGTACCCAAAATAATAATAACATAATGTAATAATATAATATCCAAACCCCCATTGAAACAGTGTCAACTCGCCCACGGCTCAAATGAAATAAACCAAAAATCAGCTCTAAAAATATAAATAATAAAAATCGTATTAAAATAAACACAATTACTCTAAAAATCATTAAATGTGGGTTAGTAAACATTAGATCTCTTTCCTCTAAATCCCTATTAGTTAATGATCTGATAACTGATCATCATATTGATTTATTCTGTCTGACAGAAACTTGGCTACAACAGGAGGATTTTGTTAATATAAATGAATCCACTCCTGTTAATTATTTAAATTTATTTATTAACCTTTATTTAACCAGGCAAATCCCATTGAGATCACAGATCTCTTTTGCAAGGGAGGCCTGGGCCTGAAGGCAGACTAACATGCGTGTTTTTGATCTGTGGAAGGAAACCGGAGTACCCGGAGAAAACCCACGCAAGCACGAGAAGAACATGCAAACTCCAATGTCCACACATCTACTCATTCTCATCATCACACTCTAGGGGCTGTTTACATGACACCAGCCCCCGCCCTCTCTGAATCCAGAGGTTTTTGAACCCAGGTCTCAGAGTGGAGATTTTCAGGGGAACCACCTGCGGAGCTGTGAAAAGCCCCGAAAAGTGTAAAGTTGCACATGCACGTTACGGGCGTATATTTCAAGCATGACCAACGGCATATGGTGGCAGAGTATGACATAGAGTCTCTGATGAGCTTTCTTGATCAGGCTGGTGGTGTTGTTGCCCCAGATGAGGTTGTCATTCAAGTGTACACCCAAGTACTTGAAGCTGGAGACCACTTCCACTGCAGATCCTCCTATGTTCGGGATGGGGGTGGGGGGTGGTGTATTTGTTCTGTCTGAAGTCCACAATCATCTTCTTCACATTGATGTGAAGGTTGTTCTCCTTGCACCAGCTCTCCAGGTGTTCCACCTCCTGCCTGTAACTGGACTCATCATTGTTTGTGATGCATCCCACCACCGCTGTATCATCTGCAAACTTTATAATATGACATCCTGGATGGGTCGATGTACAGCCATACGTGAGCAGAGTGAACAGGAGAGGGCTCAGTACACAGCCCTGAGTGGAGTCAGTGCTGAGGGTGGAGGAGGAGAAGTTGTGGATCCTCATTGACTGTGGTCTGTTTGTTAAGAAGTTTAGGACCCAGTTGCAAATGGAGGGGCTTAGTCCTAGTGTGAGTAGTTTGTCCATCAGGGTTTGGGGGATCATGGTGTTGAAGGCAGACGTGAAGTCCACAAAGAGCATATAGATGTAGGAGTCCTTCTGCTCCAGGTGGGTGAGAGCAGTGTGGACCACAGAGGAGATGACATCTTCTGTTGATTGATTCTCGCGGTATGTGTACTGGTGAGGGTCCTCATTGAAGTTGATGGTTGTTTTGATGTGGGTCATGACCAGTCTTTTGAAGCATTTAGCGACTATCGGGGTGAGGGCCACTGATAGTGGTGCTGATGGTGGTGATAGCCGATAGTCATTCAGACCAGTCACTGTGGAGCTATGGCATAGAAATTAAGTATTTATTTATTAAGTATTTATCTAAGATTCATATTTATTAATACAGCCTCAAAATCATATTCTGTCTGACCATTTTTCAATAACCTTTGAGTTTACATTAAATGACTACACAGCCACTGAGAGTAAATTTCATTTTAGCAGATGTTTATCGGAGATCACAGAAACCAAATTTGAAGAATCTCTTCTATTGTTATTTTCCTCTGTCTTGCAGAGTAATGCAGTAGAGAGCCATGGTTTAGATGACCTGGTTGATAATTTTACAATTTCAATGCAAACTTTATTTGATAAAATTGCTCCGCTGAAAAAGAAAGTAATCAATCAAAGGAAACTGGCTCCTTGGTTCAATTCTGAGTTAAGTAATTTAAAGCAGGCATCTAGAAACCAGGAAAGAACATGGCGCTCCACTAACGTTGAAGGATTTAATTTAAGTTGGAGAGATAGCTTGCTAATGTATTAAGAAAAGCTCTCCGTAAAGCTAAAACTGTATATTATTAATATTTAATAGTTGAGAATAAAAATAATCCTAGGTTTCTGTTTAGTACGATTGCTAGACTAATTAAATGTCCCATTTCTGTTGAACCATGTATCTCTACAGCTATAAGTAGTGATGACTTCATGAGATTCTTAATAAATAAAATTATTTTAACTAGGGAAAAAATTCAAATCATTCTTCCTACTATTGTCTCTGGTTCCCTGTCAGATAAGGCAACTTTAGAAATGTCACTAGAACCTGATTTATGTTTAGACAGTTTTAGTCCTGTTGAGCTCTCTGAATTGTCTAAAATAATTGCTTCATTCCACATGTCTGCTAGATTTCATCCCAACCAGACTGATTAAAGAGGTATTTCCCCTAATTAATGTCCACATTTTGGATCTACTTAATGTTTTTAATGAATGGTTACGTACCACAGCGCTTTAAGATTGCTGTATTTAAACCTTTACTTAATAAGCCTGATCTTGATTCAGGAATTCTAACCAATTATAGACCTACAGTATATCTAATCTAACATCCATCTCAAAATTTCTAGAGAAAATAGTTGCAGGTCAGTTGCATGAACATCTGGACATAAATAATCTGTTTGAGGTGTTTAAGTCAGGGTTTAGCGCATCATACAACAGAAACGGCACTGGTAAAAGTTACAAATGATATTCTCATGGCCTCAGACAATGGACTTGTGTCTATACTGGTCCTGTTAGACCTCAGTGCTGCAGTTGATACAGTTGATCACAATATTTTACTACAGAGGCTTGAATATGATATTGGGATTACAGGAACAGCTCTAAATGGTCTAAATCATATTTATTTGATAGATTCCAGTTTGTAAATGTAAATAATTAATCTTCTTCATACACCACAGTTAGTCATGGAGTTCCTCAGGACTCAGTGCTCGGACCAATACTCTTTACTTTATATATGCTTCCATTAGGTAAAGTTATTAAACAACATGGGATACATTTCCAGTGTTATGTTGGTGATACACAGTTATATGTGTCTATGAAACCCAATAAATCCAATCACTTACTTAGATTAAAAGCATGTCTTAAAGACATAAAAACATGGATGACCCTAAATTTTCTGTTTTTAATCTCAGACAAGACTGAGGGTGTAGTTGTTGGACTTGAGCATTTTAGGAATACATTTTGCAGTCTTTCACTTTCTCTTGATGACATTAATTTGGTCTCCAGTTCAAAAAATAAAAAGCTTGGTGTTTTTGGGGGGCGTGGCTGTGGCTGAGTGGTTAGAGCAGTCATCTTCCAATGCAAGAGTTGGGGGTTCAATTCCACCAGCAACCACATGCAGAAGTGTCCCTGTGCAAGACACTGAACCTCTCATTGCTGCCAATGTGTGTCACATCGATGTATGAATGTGAAAGCACTGATTACCGGTAGTCTTTGTGGAGATAAAGAAGAGTGCTGTATGAATGGGGAATTCAGGGCACAAACTGTATAGTGTAAAGCGCTTTGAGTATCTTGATAAGATAGAAAGGTGCTATATAAGTACAGTCCATTTACCATTTTTGATCAGGGTATGTATTTTAAGCCTCATATTAAAAATGTTACCAGAACTGCTTTCCTCCACCTGCATAATATCGCTAAAATTAGAAACAAGTAGTCCAAAAATGATGCAGAAAAACTGGTCCATGCATTTATCACATCTAAGTTGAAATATTGCAATGGTTTATTATTTTTGTGAAAAAACGTCTTTAAAAAGTCTTCAGTTGATCCAAAATGCTGCTGCCAGAGTCTTAACTGGAGTTAATAGGAGAGATCATATTTCTCCAGTTTTAGCTTCTCTCCATTGGCTCCCTGTCAAATCCAGAATTGAATTCAAAATCTTACTTATAACCTACAAAGCCCTCAACAACCTAGCTCCATCTTATATTACAGATCTTGTTGTTCCATATTTGCCTAACAGAACACTTCGCTCTCAGTCTGCAGGTTTACTTGTGGTTCCTAGAGTTACCAAAAGCAGAATGGGAGGCAGATCTTTCAGTTATCAGGCTCCGCTCTTGTGGAACCAACTTCCAGTTTCTGTCCATGAGACTGACACATTGTCCAGTTTTAGACTGGGATTAAGATTCTCCTTTTTGATAAATCCTATAGTTAGGGTTGGCTTGGTCTCCTGAGCTGTCTCTTAGTTATGCTGCTATAGGCTTAGACTGCTGGAGGACAAACTGACCACATTTCGTCAAACGAATATTTACAAATGAATGCAAATGAATAGCTTGTATTTGTAACTATTTCTATCTTAACATGTGTTTTTTTTTTGTCTTCCTCCAATAGAAAATACATCTGGACCTGTCATTCTGTGTTAGTTTGTCTCTCCTTCTTGTCCTCTCAACCAGCCGGTCAAAGCAGATGGCCACTCGCCCTGAGCCTGGTTCTGCTGGAGATTTCTTCCTGTTCAAAGGGAGTTTTTCCTTTCCACTGTTGCCTTTGTGCTTGCTCAAGATGGGAGACTGTGAAGAAGTGAAGATTCAACATAATCTGCTGCTTCCTTAGACAGAGAACTTTACTTTTATAAAGTATAATGTATATGTATAATGTATTTATAATGTATGTGAATGTCTTTGTACAGTGCCCTGAGACAACGTCTGTTGGGACTTGGCACTGTCTAAATAAACTGAATTGAATTAATAATAATCATAATAATAATGTTTTTTGCAGGCATACAGTCAAATATTAAAAATTAAAGTAAAAGTTGAGTCAATCTATAGTTTAGTTTTAGTGTTCTGAAACGTATCCATCTTTTTGTAAATCACTCAGGTTTGAAGCTTTATTGTCCCAGCTGGGTTTCTGCACATACCTTGGCTTGTCAGGTAATAAAGTGCCGGATATGTTTCAGCTCTGTTCATATCCATCAGTGCGTCAGCAAAGCAAAGGTCACAGTTCTGCCGTTGTTTGGTTTCCTGTTAATAAAAAGAAACATTAGCTTTCTAACCGACACAGTATTTTTTACATTCACGCTCAGATTTCGGCTCATCTGTCAGTGAGCGTGCTGAAAGTGTGAGCGCACACACGCAGAACGCGGCGCAGCCCTCCCCTCTGGCAGATGTGTGTCGTCAGATTTGTAGCTGAGGCAGGATGAGTGACAGGCGGGCCAGTGATTTGCATGGTGGTTAAAAGGAGTTGCAGGTGCAGGGTTCTCCTCACAGACCAGAGCAGATGTGGAATGTTCCACTTCTGCTGTTTGGCTTCATGTGAATCAAGAGGAAACACATTTTAATGAAGTTTGTTTGATTTATTGCTTTATTTTTTGAGCTCATTATGAAGACTACTAAGTTTTCTTTTGTTTGAGACTAAATTAAAGGAGCAAATCACTGCTTTTCCCTTCAACATGGAGACCTTATTACCAGCCAGCAACTGAAGCATCCTTCCATGATGTCCGAGCAGATATTTATCCTTTTCCTTCTTTGGAGTTTGAGGGTCGCTGACACAACAACCGGCTCATGGAGGCAGTGCGCAGGTATTAAACCACCTGATTTATTTCTGTTTACTTCTTTCTCCTCTTCACGCTCCATTACCTCATCTCAGTTCAGCACGAGCGATGTACAGTTAATGATTATCTGGTGGATTGTTTACGGTTTCCTGGGAATGCCCTGCAGCTAAAATTCTTTTGGATAATTCCAACTGTCTGTGTCTGCTCACAGGGAGTGCTTCTGTGTGTGCGCTTAATGACTTAAATTAATACACACAAACAAGTAGAGACATTAAACAAATTCTGTTACAATTTTATAGCCATATCAGGACAAATATTTATGTGATGCCTCATCAGTCTTAGAGTATTTCCCCATCCGTCTCACTTACAGAGGAATATCTTGTCGTATTCCATAACAACCCAACCCAAACCTCATTAAAGTTCGACCATCTCCTGGGGCTGTTTCTCACACCAGGGTGGGGACATTAATGTATTTATTAGTTTACTGCTTTTGTGTTCAAGCTTTTTCACTCTTAAAACCAAACTACACTTTAGACAGAAAGTGATGAAAAATTCTCTTAATTATCTGCTATTTTCACAAAATCGGACAAAAATGACGAGAATAACTATTTTTATTGGAAAGACTTTCTGAATATAAATAAATTATTGTCTCAAAAATGTGGGTTTGTTCTTTTGCTGTACATCACCAAAGTAGCATTTGAAGTGTTTCAATAAATAAGACCAAATTGACTATGGTGACATTATTCACATGAATGCCCCTGCTAGCTCCTTGCAGATGTTGGATGCTGTCTACCATGACGCACTATGATTCATAACTGGTTGTAACTACCGTACCCATCACTGCACCCTGTACTCCTTGGTCAGTTGGTCATCATTATCTACATGCAGGCTCTCACACTGGTTCATTTTCATCTATAAATCCCTCCTTGGTCTGCTACCTTCTTATATCTCCTCCCACTTGTCACACCGTCAGTGCAGTTACAACATGCGCTCTCAGGACATCATTACCTGCAGCGTTCCCTCAGTGCAAACTGAACTTGGCAAAAAGGCCTTTTCCTTCTCAGCTCCTGCACCTGGAACACCTTGCAACAGGAACTGAAGTTGTCCTCCTTGATTTATTTAAGGAGTTTCAAACATTTGATGTCAATAGAAAAATCAAAGCAAATATGTTCTTGTTTTTAGTATTTCACCCTGATTTACTGTTTAATACACTACTCTTATTTTAATTGCATTTTACTGTAGTTTATTGTTGTCATTGTTGACTGTTATTGTTGTCTGTACTTTATATGTTCCGTCTGGAACAGGTCCCTCTTGTAAATGAGTCCTCGTGACTCAAAGAGACTAGTCTGTATAAATAAAGGTTGAATGCATGGAAAAAAATGCACAAATAAAAGCGAGAGAAAATGCATTTTCTACGAAAATGCAACGTGAATGCACTCTGCAGAGCGGAGGCTAAAATGTGCAGAACACAAGCTTAAAGCAGCTGAACCGTAGCTAAAAGCAGCTGAACACAAGCTAATAACAGGTAAAACAGGTCTCTCTTGTAAATGAGTCATTGAGACTCAATGAGACTAACCTGTATAAATAAAGATTGAATGAATCATAGATGCAAAACAGAAAACAAAAACAGCAATCCAAAAAAGTCCATGCTCAATAATCCAGGTATACAATCCAACAATTTTCAGTGAGGTCATCTGGACAGTTTCATTTTTTTGCTGAAACGTTTCACCTTCCATCCATATCCATCCAAAACGTTTCAGAAAAAAAAGAAACTGTCCAGATGACCTGACTGAAAATTGCTGGAAAAACAGCAATCCAACAGCAAAAAAATTAAAAAAAAGCAGCAGAGGAGTAGCTGAGATTACATAAACTGCAGCTAGAATTAACAAAACAAGCTAAAAATAACAACAGGGTAACAAAAATTATGAAGAAACTACAAACAGGAAAATGATAGTATGCTGACTCAGCATTCACTGAATAAGTTATTCATCCAGTCTCTGAGGGATTTAACTTCTATTGTTTATGTTAAAAAAACATTGAAACATGGGAAGTTTATATCTGACAAATCCTTTTTCAGAACCAGCTAATTTACATCTTGTGCTTCCCGTCCCTCAGGCTGGTCCATTTAGGCCTTTTTATTTCCTTATTGTCCTCAGACCTGCCACCCCTGGATCTTCTGTCCTTTGTTCTCGAGAGGGACACCTCCAAACTTGTGTCCGGGGTGCATGTGGAGCAGTCGGATGGGGTGAGGGGCGTCCATTTCCTGAGCCCCGATGCCTTCATGAGCTTCCCCTCCTCCCAGCTATTGGTGAACTGTGACCTTTTCCCTAAACAGTTTTCCATTGTTTCAACATTTAAAGTAAATCACATCGCACCAAAGGTGAGCGTCTGTCAGAGTTCTGCTTTAGTGTAGCTGACAATAAGAGAAGACTCATGTTTGCTCAAGATGTTGAGAAGCAAAACTGAAATAAGTTCAACTATTTTTCATCAAAGCGTGTCTTGAGGTTGTTTTCTTTTTGTCTGACAGAGAAATGAATACATCTTTTCATTGCTGGAACCAAAGCACGGAGAGAAAAATGCAGCGCAGGACATGGAGGATACTTTAAAAAAGGATAAGAAGATGAATTTGTCTGGAGAAGAGCAGCAGATGAAGAAAAAGCCCAACAGGAAACATGAGGAACCGGGGCGAGTCATCCTCGGCCTGAAGTTATCCCAGAGCGGGCTGCATTTCTTTTTTAAAGGCCGTCAAGAGGCTGTGGAGCGCGGGATGTTTCGAGGCATCTCACTGGATGACAACCAGTGGCACACTCTTATTTTAGTTGTGCAACATCATCACGTGAGGCTCACAGTGGACTGCAAATCACCTCTGGAAATGTAAGCTCAGTCGTTTATCGCCCTCTGCCGAAAGGCAACAACCGTACACTAATGGTTTGTTTGTTCTTGTGTTTGACTGTTAGCAAAATATCTTACAAACCACAAGAAAAGTTTTACACTGGATGAACATCAACTACTTATCTTTTGGAGCCAACTCCTTCCAAGAAGGCGGTTAAACAACAAAAAAAAAACTCTAAAAGAGCTATAATCCTGTCAGTTCTACATATCCTGAGCATAGCTGAGAGTTATTCACAATCAGAGTCAGAGTCAGAGTCAGAGATTCTTTATCGTCATTCGCACCTCATGTGGTACATGTGGTGGAGCGAAATTATGTACACAGGGTCCCAGTTACATCCAACAATAAAATGTATAAGAAAAACAGTAATAACATCTAAGATATGAACTAAGAAAAACATCAACTAAATATACACTAAGCACTCATAACATAAAACATTGAACATCAGCACAAACATGAACATGAGTCTGTGAGCAGATGTGCACGCATGAACACATCAACATTGAAACAGATCAGCAGCAACATGAAACAGATCAGCAGCAACATGATATGGTTTTTCACAGTGATTATTCTAGTTAGAGATTCATGAGTCTAACAGCCTCAGGGTAGAAGCTGTTCCTCAGTCTAGTGGTTCTACACTTAATGCTCCTTAACCTCCTTCCTGAGGGGAGTGGGGCAAAAAGTGTGTGTGCTGGGTGAGTGGGGTCCTTCTTGATGCAGGTGGCCCTCTTCCTGCATCTGGAGGTGTAGATGTCTGTGATGGTGGGGAGACTGATTCCGACAGATTTCTGTGCAGCCTTCACCACTCTCTGCAATGCTCTTTACATTACTTCTTGCTTTACAAACTTTAGTGTTGCCTGTTGAAGCCATCCCTTTTTGTGTGTTGGTAAAACATCAAGATTATATTTAGCCTGTTAGAAAGTTTTTTTTATTTCCTGGCTGCTCCCTTCATCAGGGGTCACCACAGTGAACTAAGATGCTCGAAGACTTGACAATTGTTTTTACGCTGGATGTCCTTCCTGACGCAACCACTGAGCTACCACGGCCTCTGTGTGGAGCAGAGAGCTGCTAGGACACCCGGAAGAACAGATGGTGCGGGTTAAGTGCCTTGCTCAAGGGCCCAGAGTGGGACGAATGAAGGTGGAGGCAGGTGTGGGTGATTTACCTATCCCATCCACATTTTGATGTTGTCGGTAGCGGGAGTTGAACCAGCAATCTTCTGATTACAGGCCCACCTTCTGTAGCCTCTGCGCCACCGCTCCACTATTAGAAACCTGTTAGAAAGTAATTGTTGTCTGTAAATCTAGAACTGCTTAACATTTAGAGTCTATCTGATAAGAGATGACTGCCACCACGAATATCAACAAAAAATATCTATAACTCAGTTAAATGGTAAATGGACTGTACTTATATACAGTAGCTCCTTTCTATCTGATCAAGATACTCTACTCTGTGTCCTCATGTAGCCGTTCATACAGCACTCTACTAGATCTCTACTAGATCTCTACAGAGAATAATCAGTGCTTTATCACATTCATACACTGATGGGACACACATCAGAGGCAATGGGGGTTCAGTGTCTTGGGACACTTCAACATGTGACTACTGGTGGAATCTAACCCCCAGCTCTTACATTGGAGGACGACTGCTCCAACCACTGAGCCACAGCTGGCCCCGCTCTAAGCCGTGGTTAAATGTAGCTGAAATTTGATGTGGTAGTAGCTGAGAGTCATTTCCAACACATAGTGCGACATCTGTGCTTAATCTCGTGCAAAAAGCTACTTCTTGGTAATCTCTCAACATCTGTTGATGTTAGTTGAAAACCCTCTGGCATGATAGGTGCGGGCGATGTGCATTCCTTCAACAAATGCTCGGCATTTATTATTTTATTATTTTCTTGCTTGTGCCTGATCTCTGTTTGCCTCCCAGCATCATTTCTTCTTGTTTACTGCACTTGAGGTTTATAGTAGTTGATTCTTCGTTGCAATGCACTGCTTCTACTCCAAAATGTGCTCACGCCCTGTCATATCCTGGTGGGCTGACAGTGATAGATTTTGGTTTTAGAGGAAAGCTCCTCTGGCACCTCTGCTGATGTACTTCAGTTCATGTTTCCTGTTCAGTTCGTCAAAGACTGATCTGAGGGAAACTGCTTGAGTTACAGCAAATTCAGCTTTCTTACAGAAGGAAAACAACTTACTTCATCTGTATCAAATAACAATCTTTCATTGCAAACAGCGTTCCCGCCAGGCCTTTCCCCTCAGACCTCAACATCCAGGGATCCAGAGTCCACGTCGGCAGTCGGGGCAGATGGAAAGGCTTGTTTTCAGTAAGCTGCATCTAAAACTTGTGATGCTATTCCAAAGTAAGTTAGATAAATATCTCACTTGTTGTCCCCAAATTCAGGGTCTTCTTCGACAGCTGGTTCTCGTGCCAAACGTAGACACCGCATACCAGATGTGCCCCTCCTCTGACCCCCAGCTCGCAGCTCTGTCAGTCCCCCCGCTGCTCCTAGACCTGCCTGTCGGAACACAGCAGGACGACAGACGGACAACTTCCTCTGGTAATTTGCAGTCACTTCATAAGGAATGCGATGGGTACCAACAAGAGTTTAGATCCTTGATCGCTCTGCTTCATCAATGTGATCTGTCAGAAAGCATGCAGCAAGTGTCAGTGGGTTTGGAGAGTTCATGCTCCGAGCTGCTGCAGGGCCAGCTGTGGTTTGATCCGCTCAAGAGGGGCCTCTACCTCTGCAACGGTTCATCGTGGATCACTGTGTTGGAGGGTAACAACTAGCCCAAACAGGTTTATTTTCCTGTTAGTTTGGCAAGTGATACAATTATGTTTCCATCAACACAGATCATAAAAGGCTGGACTACGTGTTGGAACATCAAGTCCTCTCCACCAGCTCAGAGACGCACGATGTGGAGGTATTCATCCAACGTCCTCTTAAGAAAAACGTAGATGACTTAATTTTTTACACACACACACAAAAACAACTTAAAAATCTGTCACTTAATGAGCTGAATAAAAGCCATGCAAACAAAGCACTGTTCTGTAATTAAAAAATATTAAGATAGAGTTGATTGAGTCCATTTTTTTTAAATTACCGTAATAACGCGCCACTTCACAACAAGCCAAGTCAAGTCATATTCAAATCCGACTAAAACATAATGCATTCACAAACAGTCCATTATGAAATGCCAATTATTAGAACTATTGTCAATCTAAGGAAACCAATAGATTTAGCTGAACCATGAGCTGGATCAATCATTGCCAATCAGAGCAGTCACTACATGATTGATAACTCAGATTCGTTTCTTTGTTGTTTTATTTTTGAACAGCAGTTTAGTTTTCATACACACTACACTATATTTTGGGATGGAAAAACAAAGGTCTGTGATTTAGCCCCGAGGGCTCAAAGCAGGTCAGCACACACTCTTACCCGTGGTACGGTTTATTAAAGGTTTGCTTTGTTCAAGGCACAGCGATCTATATTTTCATTGAGTGATTGAGGTTCTTCAAAAATAAAAACAAGGTTTTACTATGTTAAAGACGACGTTGTATTTTAAAGGTTTGCGCAGTATTCTAGTGAGCTTTGTTTGCTGGTGTACTTGAATAAAGCAACCCTATCTTGAAAGGCACCTCAGTTTTTGGGAGTGAACAAAAAAGCACAACCGTGTGAAAGTCAAACAAGGTTAAGTCAGGTCCTCTGGACGGATTCTTCTTGTTGAAACATTTCGTCTTTTATCCAAAAGACTTTCCAAAGATCCAAAAGTACGAGACGTTGTACAAAAGACAGTCTGAGGAGCTGCAACAAACTCAGTCTTATAAATAGCACCTTCTCAGAGTGGATCAACCAGTTTGCTGTTGACAACCAAAACCAGCTGCTCACATGATCAAGGAGGACCATCAGCCTAACAATGGATCATTAGCATCCTGATGGCTGTTTACTGTTCACAGAGGGCTGAGTGATACTAGCAATCACAACATTGTAAGAGGGGGACAGTTGAACCCGGAGGCCTCCACCCCTGTTTAATGATGGACGATTTCTCTTCACAAAGATGGCCTCCTTTACTCCTCTCTCAAACCATCGTTCCTCTCTATCCAGGATGTGCACATCTTCATCCCTGAAAGAGTGACCGCTGGCCTGGAGATGAGTGTAGACCGCAGAGTCCTGGCCTGATGATGTTGATCTTCTGTGCTGGTCCATCCTTTTGGCCAGTGGCTGTTTAGTTTCCTCGATGTAAGACTGATCACCCTCCTGACACTGAACAGCATACACAACATTACTCTGTTTGTGCCAGGGGACTGGATCTTTGGGATGAACCAGTCTTTAATGTATTTTGGGGTTTAAAAGCCACTGGGACGTTATGTTTAGAAAATAAATGTCTCAGTTTCTCTGATACTCCCACAACATATGGAATGACCACTGGTCTGGGTCTGGGTTCCTCCTTTTGTTGTTATTGCCAGTATCACTCAGCTCTCTGTAAATGGCAAACAGCCATTAGGGCAGTAATGATCTGTCTTTAGTCTGATGGTCCTCCTTTTTCATGAGAACAGCTGCCACCTGCAAACTGGTTGATCCACTATGAGAAGGTGCTATTTATAAGACAGAGTTTGTTGCAGGATCTCAGACTGAAGAAGTCTTTTGGATAAAAGACGAAATGTTTCAACAAGAAGAATCCATCCAGAGAGGACCTGACTTAACCTTGTTAGATTTATCTACCTGGTTTACTGAGCACGCATTAGGAAACAAGCTGATTTAACATTGATTAAGTGACTTAATATTTTTTAGCATGCCCAAAATGGGCTTAATTATTCAACTGATCAGTCGGTCTATAACTTGCTTTTTTTATTTTTACTGTCTTACAACAATTTTTTATTTTCGTTTGATTTTCAGGTGTTTCAGATTCCTGGTGTAGGTCTGATGGCTGCTATGGCTCACCGGTCCTCAGCCTCCGGCTCAGCTGTGTATCTGTGGACCCATTCAGGTTTCCAGCTCTACCAGAATATCAGCACATATGGAGCTCTGGCTTGGAGACATTTCAGAATGGGAAAAAGGGTATGAGACATTACAGAAGAGATCACACCTAGTTTTCAACTAAGGTCTTACATCAACCTCCATTTCTCGTGTTTTGTGGTTTCCATAGATGTTTCTTGTCGTGTCTAATTCTGGGGCTGGTACAGACAAGCAGCTTAATAAAGAGTCAGAGATGGATTTTTCTGTCATTTACAAGTGGAGCAACAGAAGAAAACGATTTGTGCAGTTCCAGATGCTGCAGACCTATTGTGCACGAGATTGGGAGGCCTTTAGCATCGGTCAACATACGTATCTAGCTGTGGCCAATCATAGACAGGGTAAAATGAATCATCTGTGAAGCTAAAAACATTTGGCTTGGTTAGTTTCAGTCAAATCTGGAATGCTTCATTGTTTTCTTTTTACTGTTATGTTTTTAAGGTAACAATAATCACACGATAAACAGTGTGATATACAGATGGAGCAGATCGACAAAGTCTTTCGAGGTGCACCAGTTGCTGCTCACTTCAGGCGCCTACGACTGGGAGTTCTTCACAGTTGGACCGTATCATTTCCTGGTGGTTGCAAACGCTTTCGATGGCGTGACCACTTCTGTGGACTCTGTCATCTATGTTTGGATGGACGGAAGATTTCATGTGTTTCAGACGATCAAGGTGTGTGGAAACAAACCAGTGGCATGAAAAACAATTGGAAATGACCTTAGAAATTATTTAGACTCCCTAACAGTGTCGCTGAGAATGTGTTTGAACATGGAGTTAAAGTTAATAGCACTTGAAGTAAACATTTGGCTACATGATTACCCTGCCATTCATCTTCTCATCCAGCTGGGCTTTGATTTCCTCTGAGGAGATCCGTATCTCTGAGATGAGTATGAAAAATGATCTTATCTTCGCAGGCAGAATGAAGCGAGCGCAAAGATAAAAGGAAAATAGGGAGGAAGGAACATGTACGTGAATGCATTTAAGACTGGGGCCAAAAATAGATAGTGCGGTTTGGCACGATTTGCCTGAGCGCTGTGTAACTGATAGAGAACAATTTATTTGAATCTCACCACAATTGATGTGAGTGTGTTGACACATTGATGGCCACGAGAGAAAACGCTGAGAGATGTGTAATTAAGGGGAACTCCAGGGGTGGAAGAGAAGCTTCACTAAAACACCTCGAGGCATGGTAGCAATAAAATGACTTCAAATCTTTGGAGAAAAACCTGAACCCAGACTTTTGACATGTTTCAGCGGCACAAACATTGAGACTCCATGAGGCAATGCCAGTCTGGGAAATGACAATATTTGGACAATATATTAACAGACATCAACTTATTTCTCGTGATTCTTTAACTCATCTACAGTTAAAACACGTCAGACTCTGACAAAACTATTCACATCTCCATTATCAAGTTTGTAAGTTTGAAATGTTGAACCAAGATGGAGATCATGGTGAACATTTTACCTGCCAAGCAAAAATCCTGGCCTTGGTAATTAGCCTATATTAATTTACCAAAATAATGCAAATGGGGAGTAGGAATGATTCTCCATCTACCTGCACGGACCTAAGTCTATGGAACAGTTCAGTTCCGCGGGGAACTTTGAATGTTCTGTGTCTGCCAGACCCGGTTCTGGAGGCAGTCATTGTCCTGTGATGCAGTCGTTACTATCATCATGCTGCTAATGGGACCAAGCTGCTAACTGGACCTCACTGCTAGCAGAACTACATTGCTAACAGGACCATGCTGTAGCAGAACCACATTGTTAACAGGACCTCACTGTTAGCAGAACCACATTGCTAACAGGACCACCCTGTCAACAGGACCACACTGCTAATAGGACCACACTGCTGACAAAGCCACATTACTAACAGGACCATGCTGC